GGAGCCGCCGCCGGGCGGCCAAGGGCAAGGGCAAGGGCCCGGCGGGCGGCGGCGCCGGCCCCTGCCGCTCCTGCCCTTCCTCTCGCTGCGCGACTACGGCTTGTGCATGGCCGCGCTGCTGCTCTTCTGCCTCGGCTCCCTCTGCTACCAGCTCGGCGGCGGCCCCCCGCGCTTTCTGCTGGACCTCAGGCACTATCTGGGTAAGCGCGAGGGGCTCAGCCTCCCGCCGGGGGGGCTCACGGGGGTGTTTCACATGGGCTCAGATGCAAATGTGTGTGTGTGGGTGTGCTCGGCGCTGGACGCGGCCCTGCCCCGCGCGCCCCTTCCCCCTCATAGTTGTTAGGGGCTGGACGGAAGGGACCCCGGGGCAGGAAAGGCTGCTGGGGTCGGATGAGCCCAGCAAGGTGGGCGTCAGGTTGCTTTCTGAGCATCGCCAGAGGTGGGTTAGCGCGCTCCAGCAGCCTCCGTGTGGTGCATTTGGGGTCCCCCCCCACATGTCGAAGCTAAGGGGCAGCTTTTCTCCCACCGGCTGGTGAGCAGCGAGGGGTGAGCTGAGCTGAGCTGTTTCCTCGCAGCCGCCCCCTGTGCCTTTAGTGAGCCCTGCAGGCTGCTGTATTCAACCCCACCGTGTGTCCTCTTGCCAGCGGCCTTCCCAGTCACACAGGTTCACAGAAGTTTAGGGCTGGAGGGGACCTTGTGAGATCACCAGGTCCAGCCTCCCTGCTCTGGGCAGGAAAGACTGCTGGGGTCAAATAACCCCAGCAACTTGTGCATCCAGTCTCCAGGAGTTGCTTCCTGGGCATACATACCTACAGTTAAACTGGTTTGCAGTGTAGCTTCATCCCATCCCCCCCCAACCTCATTTGAAGCCAGTATCTGGGGTCTGTGACAAGCAGCCCCCCCAGTTGAGCCCAGGGGTGGCTTTGCTTCCTGGGGCTGCTCCTTGGAGAGGAAGCCAAGCAATAGCTCTCCAAACCATCCCCCATTTTCCTACTTTCCTAAACCTTCTGTAGGGATTTAAGTAGCAGTCACAGCACGTATTGGTTTTATTTACTGCACCTGTGATCCTCCCTCTGTCCTGATCTTTGAATGCCACAGGTATAGATAGTTCACTTTTACTTCCTTAAGGAAACAAAAGACAAAAAATGGGTCCATTCAAATTGCTTTCAAATGTTGCATTCATTTTGAGTTTTTGTAAGCTCCTGAGATAGAGACCCCCATGAAAAGTCCCAGGCATTCTTTGTAGTAAGTATTCTTTGTAAGTAAGTAAGTATTATAAGAATCTAATGAAATGGATATCATGGAATCATAGAAAATTAGGGTTGGAAGGAAGTCATCTAGTCCAACTCCCCCGCTCAGAACTGGACCATCCCCAACTATGTCACCTCAGCCGAGGCTTTGCCTACTCAGGTCTTAAAGACCTCTGAGGATGGAGAGTCTACCACCTCTCTGGGTAGCCTGTTCCAGTGCTTTACTACCCTCCTCAGGTACTGGCAGATGTGTACAACCCCCCCCCACCCCAGCACTTTACCAGAAGAGGAATTACATCAGTTTGACTCGACTCCCCAGCAACTGTATAGCTCGTGCACTTCAGGGGCCTTTTGGGGGCTTTTATCAGCCATTAAATAAAAGTGCCAAAAATTCCTGCTGAAGCACATGAGCTATACAGGCATTGGATGAACCAGGTCAGACTGACACAGTTTCTCTTCTGGGCCTGTGCTGCACTTGGCGTGGGGGTGTGCGGAGCTGAAAGTAAAGCACTAGATTTTTTTTTCCATGTCTGTAAGCAGTTCTAGTGAGAGAGTTTTTCCTGGTATCTAACCTAAACTTCCCCTGCTGCAACGTGACACCATTGCTCCTCCTCCTGTTATTTGCTACCACTGAGAACTGTCTAGCTCTGTCTTCTTGAGAACCATCTTTTCAGATAGCTGAAGGCTGTTATCAAATTTCTCTGTTAACCTTATCAGTCAGTAGTTAGGGCACTAGCTCAGGATGTGAGAGAGCAGGGTGAAGTTCCCTGCTACTTCCAGTGTCAGCTTGGGGCAAGTCAGGTTGCTTCTTTCTGCTACAGTTCACCTGCTCTAAAAATGGGGATGACAGTACGTTCCTCCTCTGCAGAGAAGTTGTAAGGGAAAATTAATCAGCATGGGAGACGCGTGATATTATGGTGGTATAAGTACTAATATATAAGTACTAATACTGTTCTTTAATCTTTGTTCCTATTTTGTTTTACGCCTACCTTAGGGCTCTTCTACACAGGGAAGTTCCAGTGTGGGAAACTAGGATGCGATTTAACAGCAGACTAGCTACTCCACATGAATTCTCTGCTTGAATGCTCTTATGGGGTAATTAGCTCAAAATAGCTAGCACATTGTAAATTAACACCCTAGTTTATTGCACAGTTACTTTCTTGTATGTAGACCTAGCCTAAAAATTAAGTACAGTATTGCAGAAAGATCTATTGATTGGTCAGCAAGAGGCCTAAGTTCTCTTGTAAACTACAGAACAAGAGTGGATTAAAAAAAACCCACAGAGAACTTTCCCCCATCATCCTAAAGCACATTGTGAGAACCCAGCAGCCAGATTTGTGCATGTGTTTCCTTTTTAAAAAGAAGGAATCACTTAAAGGAAAGGTGAAGCAGCAGAATCAGATGGAAACCTACTGTGAGCAGGAAAATAAATATCTTTTAACTATTACTTTCCAAAGAGAACTGTTTGAGTCACATTCTATTGGCTTGCTGAACTGTAATGTTTCTTTGAACAGTAATGTTTCAGTTGTGGAAAATAGTTCTGAAGAGGATATTGGACTGACTGTTTCCAGTCAGGGGGAAGTAGTGGGAGGCTTTACTTCACACAGACTGACTTAATTGGGAAAAGGTTAGAAATGCTTGTGGCGACCACCGATCCTCCTGGATCATGGTGTATGCATGAGGGCCACCCAGAGCTTCGATGCATATTCCTGGGCAGGAATTTCTGTAGGAGTGAAGGCTGCCCAGACCTTCCATTCTCCCTTTAGGCCACTGTGACAGAATCCAAAGATCAGACTGAGTCCAGATGTTTGGTGCCTCCATGGCTGTAGTTGTATGTGTCTGGGAATCGAACCCAGGCAGAAATGCTTGTATTCCGTGGTAAAAGTCAATGCCAGTGTAGTTCTTTTCATTATAATTCAAGGCTGACAGTAGGACTTGTGCATTAATCTAATCACCCCAATTACTGCAAGTCGTTGCAGTGTGTGAGGGCCTTACAAAAAAACAGCAGTGCCTCCACATGGCTAAGCATCATGGTCCAGTTGTTTTGGGGAGATACAAGTGTACCACCACTGCCAGAAGGGGCTATTTTACATTCAGTGATTGGCAAGTTGCATTTCTATCATTTGCATCCCTCCAGCAAAAGGAGAGAGAATTCTTGTTGGGTGTTGGATGAGAAGAATCATTCAGTCTCAAAGTACTTCATGAAAGGTCAGTTTTATTATTTCTATTTTACATAGAGAGGGAAAATGACTTTCTAAAGATCACCCTACAAGCCTGTGGCAGAGGTCAATATAGCATCGCTCTCTTGTCATCATCCTGTGCTTTCTTCTCGCTGGGCCAAGCTGGTTCCCCTTGAAATAATGGAATTAATTCTGCTGTTACAATGGTGTTTTGTTTGATTTTTCCAAAATTATTCCAGACTTGCACTTTACAGCTGAGAGCTAGAATTTGTCTTAATTTCCCATGTGCCTCCAAAAAGCCAACAATTTGCCTGTTGAATCAGCTTGGATACAGCCTGGGGCTGTAGCATTTTTTTAAAATATGGGACACCTGTCATATGAATTTAAAATCTATGTAAATCTGATGAAAGCTGAAAAGTATCACAGCTTGAACAAAAATGAATTCCACAGTCAAGAGCTTGTTTACAGACAAGCATTCCAGGGGCATGTTAATAGCAAGGGTGCCAGGATTTGATTAAAAAAAATTACGGCAGTCTTTGAAACAAGTCAGATATGTTTGCTGTATTTGTTTAATGTGCATGGGCAGTAGGCTAAGGATTTTTGTGATGAAGACTGATTGGCAGCTAATTTTAGTTCTGTGAGTAATGACATACATGTTTGTTTGCTCTCTTGCACAAAAAAGTTTACTAAATTACACATCTAACAATTCAGTACTTTAAAAAGAAAGGAAAATGTGGCCAAACCCCTGATAGTGTGCTTAGGCATGCAGACAGTTTTAAGCAATGAAGGAGCCTTGCTGATCTGTGTAGAGCTATTTACATAAGAGATTTACAAGGACAGGACTTCAGAGAGTTCATGCACATGCTCTCACACTGCATTCTCATTAATAATATGAAAACACTATTAATCTAATACTTTTTAAGCCATTAAACAAACAAACTAAGAAATTACTTCCATCTCCAGCAAAATTTGAATGCTTTCTATAATGATAGGAGCCAAAGCATTGTTGTTGGTCCTTTGAATTTGAAGATGACCATCACATCACCAGTTGGTTTGGTTTCTATGAACACGTGAATGGCTGATCAGGCCAATTTGTGCTTTGAACTGTCTGTGGCACATTGAGCAAGAGATGCTGCTTTGAGTTGCTTGGTTAACAGCAGACGTGCTGCTGTTGTGAGAGAGACACTGTTTGCGGTTCTGCTCTGCCTCAGCTGTTCTTCTCTTCACAGATGGTAGCTCCTCATGAGGCTTTGCCAGGTGGAAAGATCATGAGCGAGATCTTCCCAAGACTTAGGGTCAATGTTGAAATGTTTCAAGGATGACTTGAGGAGTCCTTGAAGCGTTTACTTTCTTCTGGCCTCCCTGAGCGCACTTTCCTGCAGCGCATCATAAAAGATCTTTGGCAGTCATTTGTCTGACCTCTAGATCTGTATTGGATGAAAACATAGAATGAGGCTGACTAAGGATCAATTCAAAGTCCTCTGAAGTCACTGGGACTCTTTCCCTTGACTTCATTTGACTCAGTACCGTACCTAGACTCCTGGCCACCCTGGGCGAACTTTTAGTATGGGATCCCCCTTCACCAGAGATAATGATTGCAATTGTAATTTTGTAATTTTTTTTTTTCATTTTCAGGCCCCCTTCCTGTCTGGGTTCTGGGCTGCCAACCAGTTTGCCCATGCCTGTGTCCAGGTCTGATTGGACTCTGGATCAGGCTCTTGGGAAGAAAAGAAAAACTCAGAGAAACATCAACAGAAAAAAAAAGCCTAA